TTTGAATTATTTGAACCCAATTTGCTAGCTNATATATATACAACACAGATGCATGAGCATAAAGTGAAATACCATTTATCAAATATCTTTCCCACAACTCAAGGTGGTAAAGCTCAATTAATTAAGCATGTGACTCGTAATTAGATAAGTTACTTCCTTTCTTGTGGATCGGGTTGAACGCCTAGATAGTATATTATGATTAAGGGTGTCTAACGGGTGGGCCAGGCTGGGTAGGGAAAAGTTAAAACCGTCCGGGTTTCGAACCGGGACAGTTATGTGTTAGGCGTTACCCGACTTAACGGGTTCGGGTTCATCCAGGTAAAAAATGAACCGTAAGGGTTACGGGTCCAAGGGGCCGGGCCGGGTTAGTTTTTTATTTTTGTATTTTGTATAACTATTGTAATTTATATTAATATAAAGTAAAAATACAAAGAATACAATGAAGATGGAAAAAAATTGCACTTATAAATTGCAAGTGCTACATTTATTTCAAAATTCAAACTTACAAATTGAAAGGTTTACATTTAACAACAAGTAAATTAACGAAAAAAGAGTAAATTCAAAGGTTTTGCATTGCCTTAGACTCTAAAACCTTAAAAAAATTGAAATCTAGCCTTTAAACCGGGTCGGGCCGGTTAATCGGTTCTACAGGGATTTTGGTTGGCTGGGTTTGATCGGTCCGGTAAATCGGATGAATTAAAGTGAACGGACCAACCCCTTAACCCCAGTAACCCAGCCCACCCAGCGCTCTAAGTACCGGGTCGGGCTGGTCCGGGTTTCAACCTGCCTGGGCCGGGCCGGTCCTGGGTCAACCCGGCCAGTTTGACACCTTTAATTGAGATGTATCTCTGGTTCGCGTTGATCGATCCTCGGCAGTGTACATGCAACTCTGGATCGGGTCGTACGATCTCAGCATAATTGTGCGCTATATCACCAGCAATCCGGATATTCACGAGATTCCCCTTCTATTGAGGCCTGGCATTTTTATATGGTATTCCTTATCCGTTTGATATTGCACTTGATATTTCTGATCTGTAGAGATAGCATATGAGATTTGAGAAATTTGTATCGTTAAAAGAAATATTGGAGGACTATGTTAGCTATAGTTTTTATCTCACTACTACTATTGTGCTTCATAAATATTTATGAATTATCATATTGATTTATTGGACCACTAGTAAGTGTCGATGTCGACCCCTCGTCACTACTTCTCTAGGGTTATGCTAGATACTTACTAGGCATGCAATGATTTACGTACTCATGCTGCACGTCTGCGCTAAATGTGCAGGATCTGACAGGTTCATTTGGGCGCATAGACGCAGCTGCTGAGGGACTTTATTCCAGATAGATGTATTATTATTGTACTTTCTAGTAGATGCTCATGCATTTATGACACCGATTTTGGGATGTTCTAGAATTTGTTTGTGGCTTTGCTTAGCATCGACACACTTTTATTCTTTATTCGATTTGAGTTGTGAGTTTTCCATGATTTTAATGCATTAATTTCTTTATCTAATGAGATTTATAATTTCATAAATAATAAAATGAATAATTAAGTTGGTAGTTCACCGTTGGGTTGCCTAACAGTGGCATTGGGCGCCATCACGACCTATTATGTCATTTGGGTCGTGACATCAGATATCACATTTGCGACACCTTGATCGCAATTGCGAAGGGTGGCATATGCGAAGTCAGCATTTGCGACATGTCCCTGGGTCATCAGGCGCCGCATTTGTAAGGGTTCGTAATTGCGAATCAAGGGTCGCATTTGCAACTTTTGCACCTGAACAAAAGGGTTGGAAAATGAGACTTAGCTTTAATTATCATATTTTTGAACCCTAGACTCGGTAGGTGACGATTTTGAGGAGGAATTTTTACATACAACTATTGGATAAGTGATTTTGATCAATTTTCAAATATATTACATGTTATTTATGATATTTAACCTCTAATCCATGGAATTTGAAGAGAATATTTTGGGGAATTTTGTCTATATTTTGAGAAATAAAAATTTTAGTTTTGAGAGTCGAATTGGACTCGGATTTGAAAACAATATATATATATATATATATATATATATATATATGGACTCGTAGGGTTATGTGTAGTCGAGATCTACCCTTGAACTCGGGTTTTGACCGAACGAGCCCAGGGTTGACTTTTGGGGAATTATGTAAAAATCGTAGCTTTATTAATCGAAATTGGCTTCTCTTGCATTGTTTGATGATACCAGGTCATTTTTTGTTAAATTTGAGTCATGTGGAGGTGAATTTTAAGGGAAAAGTTATTTTTGAGTGTTGATTTGGCCTAATTGAGGTAAGTATCTTACCTAACCTTGTGTAGAGGAACTATCTTGTAGGATTGAGGTTATTGCACTATTTAAATTATGTGGAAGACGTGTACATGAGCTAACGAGTATGTACACGAACTTATATGTGGATATTGACCGGTTTAGACTCTTAGGTTACTTATAAGCATTTAATTGTAGTTGTTATTACATGTTATTCATTGTTGAGTTACTCTTATTCATTTAGTCGTAGTTGTTATTACATACAATATCTTTCATTGTAGAGCTCATTCTTATGCATTTAATTGAAGTTGTAGTTATTGAGAGTTATTAACATGTTTTTAATCGAAGTTGTTGTTTTTATGGATTACCTTTCATTGTTGAGTTATTTTTCATTTTCTTTTGTTGTTATTGAGATTCTTGGGCACGAGTGGTGTGAGTTGATTATTGTCTGTGATGTGATGTGCATGCGACGGTATAAGGGTGGTTATATTAATGCGCATGCAGCGAAATAAAGGAGATTTATGTGCGTGTTGCTAGTAAGAGAAATTACTTCATTTGAAGCACACGCGACGAAATAAGGGGGCTAAAGCGCATGAAGCTATTTCGGAAAAAATATTTTTAAAATAAGTGCAAGGCTCATGCGGCGATATAAGGAAGATTGTGGTTGTGACTTGTGAAATGTGAATATGAGGTGTGATACCTCGGGGATTCTTGTTGTATATTCTATGTTGGAGCGGCTTGTTGATTTGAACAATTATTGTTTTCCCTTAACTTATTTCACTTGTATTTTGACTATATTTGATCATTTATTATTTTTATCATATGTTCACTCTTTGTTGTCATTTATTACTTTTACTTCCGTTCTTAGCTTATTATTAACATTCTGCTTTGTTGTCATTTATTGTTTTTACTTCCCGTTGTTAGATTATATTAATATTCTGCACATGCTTCTACATCTAGTAAGTGTCTCGACCTGACCTCGTCACTACTCCATCGAGGTTAGTCTTGATAGTTATTGGGTACCTTTGTGGTATAAATATTCTACGCTTCCGCACATTTTTATGCAGATCCAGGTGCATCTGCACATGTCGGATGCTAGTGAGTTGATTCATTTCGCGGAGACTTCAAGCTATACATGCTTGACGCTGGCAGGCCTCAGAGTCACCTTCTAATAATCTTATGTTACTGTTTCTTTTGTTTTTGAAGAGTATTGTAATAGAGATTCTTAGTATATTGTAGTAGAGCTTATGACTTTGTACCACCGATTTTGGGATTGTATGACTATGGTTCTGTTTTGGTTTTGTTATGTTATTTATCAGTTTAAATTAATAGCTTAGTTGTTGTTTCTGCTAAATTCTTAATGCCTGTTAGGCTTACCTAGTCTAAAAGACTAAGTATCATCACGATTCCTAAGGTGGGATTTTGGGGTCGTGACACTGCCCTTGCCCAGAAATCCTTCATCGCGTTCGCGACGCCCACAGCCCCCAACACAGCCTTCGTGGTCAACCCAGCTACGTTCGTGAAGGCCTAAGCCTTCCGGCCCCTCCTGCCTCTTCCTTCTACGCGTTCGCAGAGAGGATCCAGGTCCTTCATCGCGTCGCGGGCCCTCCACAAAACTCACCCGAGCCATCCGGTACCCCATCTAATTATATCAACAAGTCCATAATTATAATCCGGACCTACTCAAAGTCTCGAAACACATAAAATAACATTGAAACCAAGAATCGCACCTTAAAACTAAATTAATCAACTTCTAAACTTCAAACTTCTTCTAACTAACTCCGAACGCGACAAATCATACTTGGATAACTTGGAATGATACCAAATTTCACACACAAGTTCAACATGACAATACAAACCTATTCCCAAGCTCGGAATGCCAAACGGGATCCAATAACGCCAAAGTCTACTTCAACTTAAACTTAGAAAACTCTAAAACCTTCAAAATGCCAACTTCCGACAAGAAGTGTCGAAATGCTCCCGGTCCACTCGAAACTCGATTCGAATATACAACCAAGTCCAAAATTACTATACGGACCTATTGGAATCTTCAAATCCTAATTCTGAGGTCGTTTACTCAGAGTGTTGAATCAAGTCAAACTTGGCCACCTTCGGCCACTATTATGGAATAACTAATTCAACACGAACCCTTCCAAAACCAAACCAAACGCCCCCGCAATTCATATAACAGTAAAAGCACACGCGGGAAGTCTTAAATAAAGGAATGAGGATCTAGAAAGCAAAACAATCAACCGAGTCGTTACAGCTACAGATGTTAACTTTCATTGTCTTCGTTCATTTATGAACCATCACTAAACGAACCATCACCGAACACCGGTAATGCAAGATATATTAGTACATAATGTTTGTGATCAATCAAAAAGATTAGATCAACAACTTATTCTATGTATTGGCCTCAAATTACAGTGAGCAGGATTCACTGTAAATGACGTGCTCCTGTATAATGAAGGTCATGGATCCTCTTTATAACTTGTGTTATCATAATGAGAGCTGGTTTTGAGACATGATTTGGTAGTTCTAGGAATATCTTCTTGGTTATAAGAGATTAGATTACAATTTCTTCCTCTGCTTTATTTGACTTGTCTCAAAATATGCTAAAGTACTCAAATTACAGATGTCGATAGATTAAAAAAAGCCACAGCATCAGTACTCAGCAGAAACAATCTCTAAGATCAAGCTTACACAATCCTGGAAAAAGGAGGAGGGTTATTGTCTTTTAGAAATCAGACGTTCACATTCGTGTTTTCATTCCTCGATATCCTAATCATGGTGAATTTGTTCTCCTCTTTTATAATAAACCTGTAGATACTAAATGTTTCTTATAGTTAGATGGATAGAAAGAGATAATGTGTTGTTCTGTCTATCGGATCTCCTTAAAGGCGGATACCGTGCAGTTGAGGATAATGAAGTCGAGTCTCTGGTTGGACTATATTTGGAGGTAAGATCAAGCTTGCTCTTTCATGGAAGGCATGTTTTGGTGCGGTTTGCATGGCTATAGTTCTATGCTTAGGAATATTGGCAAACATATTCCTAGTCAGCTCCAGCAAGGTGGAAAAGCTTTCATGGATCTGTAGTAGAAACTCCCTGAAATGCAACACTTGCTAAAGGAGAAGAAGGATTAAAACCTGAAACGACAACAACAAATTGATCAATGACAGTTTCTGGGTGTTTAAAAAGAAAGTCAGCATAGAGATACTGTATTATTTTTCTACATTACATATACATTAGACACCAGGCATCATGAGCAAGCATAAAAGTTGCATTCTTAAAAATTTCAGGAAAGGATATATATACACCCACACACATTAAATAGCACAGGGACACAAGGTATCTGATGTACAAAATCAATCTAATGATGCGAGTGCTTGTGTGCCCTACAGCTCGAGAGAATAGAATAAAATGTAGTATTATTATCCAGTAAAAGCTAACTGATAATTGGCATGATGATCAGGAAAGTAGGAAAATCTCATGAGAGCAATGAGCAAAAGGTAATGGATCCATAAACTTCTACATATGAAGGCTATTCAATAGAGCAATCCTCCAAAGTAACAAATTAGAAAACAGGAGAAGGGTACTGACCAAATAGAATGTCAGAAGTATCCTTGTTTTCAGGAAATAGGAAACAACAGCTCATTTGGTGCAAAACATATTTGAGATTAACCTCAAAGGTGCATATCACTCTCATGGAGAGTAGGACGACTAAACATCCACAATATTATCAGTTTCGGGAACTTGACAAATTAAATTTTTAGCAGGACTACCTGTGTAAATCGGGGGAAACAGGATACATAAGGACATGAGCAATACATTATGTACAACTTCCATTCTTAGAAGTAGATGAACGTAAAGGGAAGTACCTCGAGGTATCTAAAGCAGCTGAAAAATCATAAGTTTTTTTTGATAGATGCCGAAAACTTCATCATTGAGATTGTCTCTTTCCGTACCATTTTCATGCATAGGTAGTTTTGTTCAGTCTTCATTCAAAGAAATGAGCCTCTGCATAGCATCATTCCATCAATTATCAAGATCGGAATGGAAATTTTAAATTTTGGACAATATATGAAATCTGCAGCTTTGCAACAAATACAGAAAATGGACAACTCTTTTTCTTTTAATCTCACTTCTTTTTATGAAAATATAATGCACACTTTTTTAAAAAGTTCAAATTTAATATCTTTTGAACTTATTAACAGGCAAAAGGTTGCAAACAATAAAATCCATACAAACTCCAACAACCAACATGAAAATTAAAATTTTAAGTAGTGGATCCTTCCTGAGAAACACTTTCGCGGCACCCACTTCTACCCCTAGGATAAAAAGCAACATACGTAAAGCAGGCAATTTCGCCTCACTGGCTCATTGGTGAACTTCATGTACTTTGTATAAACCAAGCTACTCCTAAGAATTGTCTCTTGAGTCAACCACTACCCAACAAGCATTAAAAAATTAAAAATATTCAGGAGACTTGGAAACAAGAGCTAATTCCCTGAATAACTCAAACAGATAGTGGTAAATGGATTACTCGTCATTCTGATCGCCTACCATCAGACGGACCAATTGTCCTCTGCTATGGCAATCACGTCATGCAATTGCCAAGTTCAAGGCATAGATTCATAGAGTGGTTTACACAGTGCAAGAATTTCCTTAAGATTCGCACAAGAAAAACTTTTCTGTCAGCAAGCTATTCCAGAATGAGATATCATCAAAGAATTTATAACATGCGAAGAAGACAGGGCGAAGCAGGGAAAGATAGCTCACTGGTGGAGTAGGCTAGCGACTCACTGGGGCTTGTGAGAAATGTAGTATGCCTGACAGAACTGAAGTGGGAAATGTAGGACCAAACCTACCTTTTACCCTTAGACCTGCAGTCATGGATTAGAAAAGTTTCTAAGCTTCATTTCCATTGTTAATCTAAAGTTTTAAGACATAGTACCTTTCTTCCACAAAGAGCAATCTCCTGGTTGATGGGTAAGCTTGAACTTTGTAACCAATCACATCAAGACATCCAGCATTAATGAAAATGAGCTTTAGGATCCTATCCAACTACTTCCTGGTTGCTTTAGCACTCCACATTTATTCATCAATTTCCTCACATTAGCAGAGTCCTCCCAGTTCTCTGCACTGGCATAAATATTGGATAAAAGAACATAAACTGTGGGGTTATTCTTTTCGGTCTCAAGCAGAAATCCAGCAGCAATTCTGCCTAGTCTAACATTGCCATAAGCAGCACATGAACTGAATAATGTCCACCAAACAGTGGAATCTACATCAACATGTCTATCTTTTACCAGTTTTTCAGCCTCATCAAGATACCCAGCCCGACCTAGAAGATCGACAATGCAAGAGAAGTGGTCTGTTGTAGGCTCTATACCGTACGTATGAATCATTGAGGTAAAAACTTCAATGCCTTTATCAATTAAGCCTGAATGGCTGCAAGCTGACAGAACTGAGTTAAAGGTGGTGTTATCTGGTTTGACCACACCTAATTCTTGCATCTTCTCAAAACAATGTACAGCTTCCCTGCCTTTCCCGTGCTGTGCATAGGCAGTAATTACTGAGTTCCAAGAAACTATGTCTTTTTCTGTCGTTATCTGGAACACCTTTAGAGACCAGTGCAACATTCCACATTTTGCATACAATGTGATGAGAGCATTTCCTAAGGATATTTCTGAAAACAATCCAGATTTGAGAATGAAAGTGTGAATCTCCTTCCCTTGTTGTAGAGCTGAAATGCTGGCACAAACACTCAAAACGATGCTGAGAGTAAAAGGATTAGGCATTAAACCTTCACTAACAATCTCGGAAAAGAGGTGCAAGCACTCCATGGGTAGTCCATTTAGATGACAACCGGAAATCAATGTATTCCAAGAGATCAAGTTTCTGGGAAACATGTCATGAAAAACTTGATAAGCCTGCTTTATTCCACCATGCTTACAGAATGCAGAGAGCAGTGCATTAGATACTTCAGTTTTCAAGATAAGTGCCTTCTTCAATGCAACACCCAAAATTATTTCAACAACTGCTAGAGATTCTGAGCTTGCTAGTACGCTGCCCATTGTAAACTCGTCTGGCTCTATTCCTTCCCTCTGCATCTGAAGGTATGTGAAAATTGCGGCTCTGTTCAAACTATTTTGGGCATAGCTCGTAATCATGGCATTCCACGACACAATATCCTTCTCCTTTAGCCTTTCAAAAACTAAAGAGACTGCATTCAAGTCCCCGCAACTGGCATACATTGTTATTGTTGCATTAGCAATGGATGTGTAGTTTTCTAAACCTATTCTCACAACTTGAGCATGCAGTTGAGAAGCGATCCTAGTGTATGAACATGAACTCATTATGCTCACAAAAGTGAGCTCAGTGGGTCTCAAGGAAAACTTCTGCATATCCTTGAACATTATTAATGCCTCCTCAGCTCTTTCCATACTCACTAAACCAGCAATCATTGCATTATAAGTTACAGGATCAGGCACTTCATCCCCAGCTTCCTCAAATACTAAAAAAGCATCAAAACCATTCTTACAGTTAAAATACATTGTAACCAAAGCATTAAGCACTGAAGCTCTGGCCAAAAACCCGGTCTTAATGACCATTGAATGCACTTGTCTTCCAAAATCCAATAGCTCCATATTACAAAAACTTAAAACACTAGCAAAAGCATAATTATCATATCTAACACCCAAAAAATGCATTTTTTGAAACAAATTCAAAGCAATCTCGCGATGCCCACTTTCAGCACACCCAGTAATCATTGCATTCCAAACCGCCAAATTCCTTTTCGGCATTTCATCAAACATCTGACAAGCATACTCAACTTCACCCAACTTAGCACACGCAGACAACAATGTAGTCCAAGAATAAACATCTGGGTTTTCAATTTCACTAAAGACTCTTTTCACTGAACTCAAATCTTTTGACTTGGCGTAGAAAGAAAGGAGGGAATTTGATACATGAGAGTATTCTTTAAGCCCTGCATTAATGGCGAAGGCGTGTAGCTGGTTGCCGAAGCTAGCGTGTGTGATGTTGGCGCAGGCGGTGAGGGTGGTCGAAAGGGTGTAATGGTCTGGTCTGAGATGATTGGAAGAGTGAATTTGGTTGAAGAGGTGAAGAGCATCCAAGAATTGGTGGGAACGAGTACGGTTTGAAAGAAGGCAATTGAGTCTGATGAGTTGTTTTGTGGAGCTTTCAGTCAAAGTTTTATTGTAACGGGTGAACTTCATTCTAAATGACTACATCTCAGCTGTTCATCTTCATAGATTAACTGGTCGTCTCGTCAGTTTGCTATTCTGCTCGTTCTTTTCCAATTGCAGATAAAAGGAAGGCATAGTTTGAGTGGAAACCGATTTACTCCTTTGGCTTTCATCCGTTCTACAATGGCGCCGAGCCAAAGTCATGGTTTAAAATTCAGTGAGGACGGAGTTCTATTGCATCAACTATCATTCAGAAGTCTTTCTATACCACTGTACAATGCAACTTGGCATAGACTAGCGCCTTGCATAATTTGGTACTATTTCATATTGATATTATGGTTTGGTATGGTATTTGGTTTAAGTTTTTAAAAAAAATTAGTATTAGGTACAGTATTTTTATATTTACAAAAATATTAAAATACCAATATCATATCAAAATATATAGTAATAAGTTACACAATACACATATTATTGATTATAATATACTAAGTTGCATAATACTTTTCTTTGGTATGCATGTTGAGGTGGCAGCAAAGCTCATGTACTTCTTAGAAAAATGGAGGAACAACGTAGGCTACAGATTTTAACTCTTATTCTCTAGAATGCCAAACATCTTAACGTAATACTTTTACAGTTAAGGCGTTTCTTCTCGTGTATTGAATTGCATCTATTGGACTAGTCCTTGTTGTATTCTCTAACTTCAACAATTAGCTCTAAGCAAGTAACAAGATATTTTTAATGATTAAATTTATTCCTTTATGTACCTTTTTTTCTCTATCTATGGGTTGATATTTGCTGGTTTTGGACAAAAAAAAATTCAATTGTTATGTGAGCTTAAAACGTTTTTATTTTTATATTTGTGAGTACTTTAATTAAGACTATTACGGTCTATGATTTTATGCACTAGTTAATATTGAAACCGAACAAACCGAAATTACCGTACCGAATAAATCGAAACTGTAAGAAAAAAAGTTGAACCATATCGAATATAATTAGGTACAGTATTAGTATAGCATTTTAAGAAATCGAATACCAAATTAAAATATTTAAATACCGTACCGACGGACGAACACCCCTGATAGAGAGAATTTTGGCCAAAGAGCCCTGCATGTCTTGATTTAAGACTCTTTGATCATGTTTTTTTTATAACATAGTTGGGCTTAGTTAACAACTGATTAGAATGAATGGAAACTGAACTATAATTTCCAAAACTTGGCCAAATTTTGTTTGTTTAGATGATTGTTATATGTTGTTTTATAACGTATCGTATTGTATTGTATTATATTGCATTGTATTATATTGTTTGATGAGTAGTATAATATTTGGATAAATTGTATCCTTTGTTGTCATTTCATATTGTTATGCATCAACAATATGAAAAATAAGCTTACAATATTACTAAGAAAAAGATACATAATAAAATTATTATATAAAAAGTAGAGTAAAAGATAAAATATAATTATTTAATAATAAGGAAGGGAAAGATGGAAGAAAAAAGCAAAGTAGCGACACCACCAGTCCAAATCTGCCGTTACATGAAATGACACTTTTCTCGTTACGTAACGACGAATTTAACGATATGGTACAATAAAATATAAGTAACAATCAAAATAAATATTGTATTTAAAGAAACAATACGATACAACACAGTAGGTAATAACCATCCAAATGAGCTATCAAAAGATAATTATGGATTCTAAATTAGCCATCAAACTCATAATTTTTTTAGTTAGTGGGTTCGCAATTAATATTTATATGTGTTTAATACAGAGTCTAAGCAAAATTTATAAGCTTTGTCCAAACCCATAACTTATTCTCTAGTTCCTCCCTTGTCCATCTCGATCTCGTCCCTCTTCTCTTCTTTTCTGCCATTTTTATCTAATTCAAACTCCAATCATTGCTAATCACTTCTAATAACCATGTCAAGGCATGGCGATCTCGCATTACTTAGGTAAACTTATCTACTTACTCCCTCCGGTCCACAATGAGTGATTTTTTGGCCTTTTTTTTGTGGTCCAAAATAAGTGATTTTTTTCTAGATTTCAAGAATGAATTAATTATTTTTTCCTACATTGTCTTTGAAGTAAATAATATTGGAGTATGTGTTAGGAGTGTTTAGTGAAGAGATAGTAAAAGTTAATATGGTCAATTTTATTGCTAATTAATGTTAAAAGGTGAATTCCTTAATATGTGTGAAAGCAACCAAAAAATCACTTATTTTGGGCCAGAGGGAGTATTTATTTACTAAACTACCCATGCCCGTGAACAACACAGGTCCAATCTCATAGGAGGAATTTTGAAAATAAGTTGGGAAGGGTATCCGGCTAATAGAAGTGAAAGAATATTTAAAGGAGAAAATCAATAAATTGCACAAGACAAGACAAAATAAGATTTACGTGGTTCGGTAATTTTTGCCTACTCCACGGCCATACAAAGAATAGTTCTTTATTAATTGAAGATAGAAAGAAGAAGTTGAGGGATGATCCGCAAATGAAAATGCACACCCCTTTTATAGGCATTTGAATCCCCTGCCGGCGTAAGCGCTTGCGTCATAAGAATGTTGGCGTAAGCGCTTACATCATAAGAATGTCGGCGTAAGCGCTTACATTATAAGAATGACGATGTAAGCACTTACATCATATTTTCATCTCTTTTTGACTTTTCTTTCTTTTGTTTTGTCTACTTTTCGTTCTTTCATATACAACAACAGGTTTGCTCCTATCAATCTTACCCTCAACCTTATATTACATCAAGAAAGAAATTAAAAAAAAATTGCTATTCTCTTATGGTGCCTTCACACTATCAATCTCGAAAGCTAACTGAGGCAATGTACTGCCTCAGTTTGTTAATACCGACAACTTTAGTCAATATGTCTGACGGGTTCTTTGATCCTGTATCTTCTGCAAGGAAAAAGTTTCTTCACTTATCAACTCTCCGATATGGTGATACCTCAATAGGATATGCTTCGATCTTGCATGAAACACTGGATTCTTGGCAAGATGAATTGCACTCTAGCTAAAGCTCACAATTGTCCTCCTCTTTACCTAGCTTTTTAAAGAAATTCTTGAGCCAAATCATCTCTTTTCCATCTTTTGAGATTTCCATGTACTCTGCTTCAGTGTTAGATAGAGCAACACTTTTCTGAAGTCTGGACATCCAGTTAACAACAGTACCACCCAAGGTGAACACGTAGCTTGTGGTACTTTTTCGACTATCTAGATCGCTGTCTATATTTGCATTAGCAAAACCTTGTAAGATAATATTGCTCTTTTTATAACAAAGTATCATACCTGAGGTGCCTTTGAGATATCACAATATTCATTTTACACATTCCCAATACTCCTCTCTTGGATCTGACATGTATCTACTGACAACCCCAAATACATGGGTTATGTCAGGTCTAGTACAAACCATAACATACATCAAACTTCCTACTGATGAAGCATATGGAACTTTGGACATGTACTTTCTTTATTTATCTGTCTTAGGTGATTGGTCTTTCGACAGATTAAGATGGCTTACGAGTGGAGTGCGTCTGCTCTTTGCATCATGAAGACTGAACCTTCTTAGTACCTTATGTATGTACTTTTCTTGAGAAAACTTTAAGGTTCCTTTCGACGTGTTTCTGCTAATCCTCATCCTAAGCATTCTTAGCTGGTCCAAAGTATTTTATTTCAGACTTCTCCGCAGTTGTTTCTTAACCCAGTTGATCTCATTTATGTTAGATCCTGCAATTAGCATATCATCAACGTACAACAGTAAAATGATATAGGATTCATTAAGATTTTTGATATAACAACAATGGTCCATCTCACATCGTGTGAAACCATTGTTATGCATGAATCTATCAAATTTCTTGTACCATTACCGGGGAGCTTGTTTCAAACCATACAAGCTCTTCTTCAACTTACACACAAGGTTTTCTTTACTAGGAACTTGAAAGCCTTCAGGTTGCTTCATGTAGATGTGTTCTTCAAGTTCACCATGCAAGAAAATAGTTTTAACATCTAGTTGCTCCAAATGCAAATTTTCCGCAGCTATGATACTTAGCACCAACCTGATAGTCGTTAATTTGACCACATGAGAGAAGATATCGGTGTAGTCAATTCCTTCCTTTTGCTGAAAGCCTTTTACTACTAATCGTGCTTTGTATCTCTCCTTACCATCATGCTCTTCCTTGAATCTATACACTCACTTGTTCTGCAATGTCTTTTTTCCTTATGGTAACTTTGTAAGTATCCATGTGTTTATTCTTTTGAAGAGAATTCATCTCTTCTTTCATGGCTAGCTTCCACTTATTAGTCTATCACCTGCATTGCTTCAACAAAATGCTCTGGTTCTCTAGCATCAGTCAACAGTAAATAGTAAAGAGAGAGAGAGAGTTAACCTATCTGGATGATTCGTGACTCTTTTAGCTCTCCTTAATGTAGGTTCAAGAGTAACTGATCCTGAATTTGATTCAAGTCCTGACTCGAGAATTGGTTATGCATTTGATTATATCTCTGGTTCCGATTTCGGTTCTGATCCAGATTCGGCTTCTGGTTCTTCATCTTCAATTTCAGAATCAGTTGTAATCCCTCTAGCCACTTCATTTTCTGAGATTTCTTCTAACTCAACTATTTCAGAAGTTTGTTTTTTGATGCTGGTTGGTTCTACTTCAAGCTTGTCCTTGTACATCACATTTTCATTAAATGTGACATTCCTGTGTCTTAGGATCTTTTTATTCTGATCATCCCAAAATCGATAACCAAAATTATCATCGCCATAGCCAATAAAGAAATATTTCTTGGCTTTAGGATCAAGCTTGTCTCTATCATTAGAGTTTACATGCACATAAGCAACACAACCAAAAAAATTTAGATGTGAGAGAGTTACCTCCTTTCCTGTCCATAACTCCTCAGAAATTTTAAAATTTAGCGGTACAGAGGGTTCCCTATTTATGAGGTAAGCTGTCGTGTTAACAGCCTCGGCCCAAAAATACTTCGACAATCCAGAATATATTCTCAGACTTCTGGCTCGTTTATTCAGGGTTATGTTCATCCTCTCAGCAACGCCATTTTGTTCCGATGTTCCAGGAACTGTCTTGATCATTTTGATCCCATTCTCATACACGAATGCTTTGAACTCTTGAATATCATACTCTCCTCCATTGTCAGACTTCAAACATTTTAACTTTAGACTTGTCCGGCTTTCAACTTCAGCTTTCCATCTTTTAAAGGTAACAAACACATCAGATTTATTTTTTAGAAAATAAACTCATGCCTTTCTTGTGAAATCATCAATGAAGG